TTAAAAATTAAAACATATGTATAAGTACTGAAGGAAATAATAGATCAGTCCTGAGAGCGATACCAAGAGAACTGCTAATCCTCTTGATAGTTATAAAAAATTCTCCATAAGATAATAAACAGTGATACAAATAAGAATCACTCATGAAATTAACTATCACTGGTAGTAATAAATTACAGTAATTAACTACCAATAAATGTAATTTAAGATATCTTAATGAAACAGTTGTAATGAACATTTATAAAAATTGTTCAAGTAGCAGTTCACCACCAAAAAGGGAGAATGAATAGAACAGTGATGAAAATATAATTCCTGGTCATCTTAATTTCACTACTATCAATGCCTGCTCTGCACAGTTCTGTGGAGTGGCATCATATACATTTTAGCAACTAATTAATGGTCCAGATACGGCTAAATACAAAATACAAAGTGTGGAATGAACACTTAACAAGCATACAACCTCATCATTTAAGTTGCTGTTGTCTTGGATGGCCTTAATCCATGCCAGCATGTCATCTCTATCTTCAGCCTGAAAGAGGTATTCACAATCTGATGTTGTGAGCCGAAATACATGTTTCCTCTTTGTATCACTGTATGAAATATCTATCAAACAGGCATTGATACTGATGGGCAGCTCCTCCTCTGAGGGCATGGTCTGTTCTTTTTTATCCTTATACAAGTACAACGAACAGCCTTTTAGAACCACATACATCTGTTTCCATGGTCGAATGCTTCCACCAACTCTCTGGAAAACATAAACCAGTATTACTGTGCACTTAGTCAAGCAAAAAGTACGTACCTGATGCTTTACAGTATGAACATAAAAATGACAAGACCTTGGTCTAAAGAACTTCCTTATAAAATTTAATACTCAGCTGGGAGAGATAGAAGAGGACAGAAAAGGGACTGGCGTCATTTGACAGGTCTCCTAGTTGTTGACTGGAATCCTCCTGGCAGAGCTGACAATGTCATCAGCTGCAAATGTTATTCTTTTAACTGAAAGCTTCCTATTTCCTGTCCTCAAGATGATCCCTTTTGGCCTGCGGAAGCCTTTGGGAGCCTCAGGAAACCTTTAACACCTGAAAATCACCACTGACAATCCTAAATCCAGTAGTGGGGGATTTCTGGATAATAAAAGCTCCCCTCCTCTGTTCTGAAGCCTCCCAAACACTTTCCCAGGTCAAAATGGGTCCTTAAGTAACCATGGAACTGGGATGAGGTTGGGGCTTTAAATGAAAGGCTAATATATGTGGCTGATAATATCATCAGCATTTAGAACTGTCCCTGCTGCACAAAAATATTTCAGCTCTTATTCCCTGAAACATCTCTAAAAATTGATGAGGCCAGAATACAATAGCTTAAGCAAAAATGCAAATATAGAGACAAAGATCCTTTTTCAGGCAGATTCACTGAGTATCTGTTGATTAAATGTCTCTGCAGGTGAAGGGACACAGGCATTACTTTCATTGTTATCATGTCAGGAATTTCAGTACTAAGCCACCGCTCCTGGAGAATCCCTTGCTATGGAAACAGCAGTAAGAGAAAACAATGTGTTCTTACAGGAAGCTACAGAGAATCTGATATAAGATATAGATTACTCAACTGTATTAATCTTCTCTAAGTTTGTTCTAACTACTAATGAATCAAAACCACACGGCAAATGTATCAAGTCTGCATGCTTCAATTATGTCAAGATACACAATATCTAATACAGATCTCAGTATCTGTCAGGAACATTTGAAAAGCTACATTTTTTTTTCAGAAATAAATTTCTAGCCTACTTGATCAAGAAATGAAAAACCAGCAAATTATGAAGGTACTTTCCACTAAAATCTTCCAAACCAAAAGACACATGATTAAATGGCTCCACCACTTGCATTTACTTTTACTGTTATGTTAAGAACAACAATACCTTTCCTTTGTCTGTGACTAGCTGTCGAACATAGAGCCATCCTTCCTTGGAAGCATCACCAAATACCTCTGAAGAGGAAGCTTTTCTGGAACCTGAGTTTTCCGAAGATGACTGGCTATCTGGAGCCTAAAGAAAACACTATAGTGAAGCAGCCTTAATATTAAAGAAAGGTGACACAAGCAATCATCCCTGTGCTCTACATAGTGAAGCTCTCTAAGTTATCTTAGTGGCTGCTTCACTCTGCAATCCCATGCCACGTGTTCTTTTGGGGGAAATGGAAGCATGAAGTTCAAACGGCTGCTGGAAATCTCTGTCATGTTTCTGAGCCAATCCTAGTCCACACCTAGAAAAGCTTCTTCTGGAGGAAGTGGGTGGACCACAGCACCTAGAAATCCTCACTCACATAGCATAGCTATTACAACTTCTATAACTAGGGAAGTCCTGGGTGTTGAAGTCCAAAACCCCACGACTTTTCTAAACACTAACTGGGGCTCTGTTTCATCACACACAGAGGTAGTAGCCCTGCTAGCTGCCTTCACAGCTTGGGGTGTGCGTTATCATACCATATTCTAGTATGGTACAGGGGCCGATAAAAAACTCCTTCATACCATGTGGGCAATCAATTCATAAATGGCCTACAAAGACTGACTACAGGAGGACAGGCAGACAAAGGTCTTTCTTATCAGCCGTTATCTGACAACTTCAGCTAGTAATGCCAGGAGCTAGCTTAAGACTTTTTGCATACAAACCACTGAGTTATGGCCCCTGCATCCAAGAATCAGCATTAAAGCAATTAGAAGAGCAAAGGTTGCATTCTTGCTCCTTTGTCTTAATGTTTAAGTATAAAATGTTGTGTCTGATAATTTTAGTTTTCACAGCTGATAAATATTATTGAAGGGTGTAATACAGAATACAAGATAGCCTTTAAAGCTGATCTGATATGTATGGATTATTGAGATGGTTTTAATTGTTTCATTGTTCTATTTGTTTTTACTGTTGTTTGCGGGCTACCAACTATCTTTTCCTGGATAATATAATATAATATAATATAATATAATATAATATAATATAATATAATATAATATAATATATAATAATATAGCACAGGGTAACTGACCTTGATTCCCTTTAAGCTGGATACATGCTTTATAGCCCTGCAGAGAGAAGGGAGATATAAAGTCAACATCATTTGATAAGGCACATATTAACATACAGATTTTTTACTGAATTTAGGGCTTACACTTTTCCTTCTTTATAGTCATCCAGTCCTTCATCATATGACTTGGACCTTTCACTTTTTGCAGGAAACTGGACATCCACAATACTAGTCCTGATAGATTCTGCAGGTAAAAACAAAGGTGTATCATCTGTCTGCATTCATGTATAATAAATAAATCACCACCATACTGTTTCACTAATGCAGCTAAACTGTAAACATACCATGATCATGGGACAGCTGACGTCGAATTAAAGGTACACGAGAGGTAGGGCTAGGAGGAACTGTTGTAATGGTGGGTGCTCTTGAGGAAGATGCTGAAATAACAGCAGAAGCTGGAATGTTGGCAAGATCATGGTCAGTGCTGGGACTAGCTGGCTCATCTACAAGAAAACATGCAGCAAATTAGTACACGGTCATAAAAACTTCAAATATTGGTTCTGTGAGTGAAAACTACAAGTGACATAGTGACTTTTTTCCAATATAATACCAGAATCCAAACACTGTGCCAGCATAGGGACATCCCATGATGAATGAAACATAATTTGTGCTGTTTTTAAAAGATTCCCACATCTCTCCCAATTCAATGAAACACACAAGTTAATCTTATTCTTTGGATTTCAAGATGTTAGGCATTTACTGTTACATTTACAATGCAGCTGGCAAAAAGGAATAAAAAAGAAAGAAAAAAGAAAAAAAATGCCCCACTGAACATGGACTGTGCTATATCAAGACAATTGCAGTGTCAAGTTTTTGCCATAAAATACTTTCCACAAGTCTCTCCCTCTCTTTCTCAATCTCTTTCTTAATTAGTGCAATCAACCTTAAAAAACAGTAAGCATCACGTGTCTGCATTCATATGTATAAAACTCTAATTAAAATGAACTGTAAAGAAGCAAAACAAATTATTTTAAGTTGTGGAAAAATAGATATCTATCAAAAGAGAGAGAGAGAGAAATGTACACTATATTTACAGCATGTCTATGTCAATAGCACAAAACACCCAGTAATCACATTAAAATAATCAATTCAAACCCATAATACAAGTTCTACTCCACCAATGGTGGTTACTGTTACATACCAAGTATAGCTTCCAATAACTGCTGATATAAGTTATCACAGTCTGCACATATCCAGCACGTTGTAGATTCTAGTGCCACAAGGGTCATCCTAAAGTTTTCAATGAAGTTTTTAATGAAGTTTAGAGTTTCCCAAATCCGTAGAACTTGCCAAGGTGCAAAACAGAAATACTGTATATTCTAGATAAAGTTTGCTCTACAGAACACAAGATGGTAAGAATTTGTAATGACACTTTCGATGTACAGAAGAGAACTGTACAAAAACCCAGACTGTGAGCATCTTGCAGTGTGATAATTAATATGTATGGATTCTAGGTGCTGCGCATTTTAATTCGCTGTGCTTCTGAAAGGCCAATTGAAATATGCAAGCCTTCACAAACAGAGGTTTATTCTTTTCTTTGAATGAACCCATCAGCACGTACTGCATTGTGTTTTCAAAGAGTAATTGATGGCTCTGCTTTAAGGAGGCAAGGCCTGAAGCATCAAACTTTTGGTAACACATGCACACACAATAATAAACCTTTGGTAATACATGCACATACATACTGACAATCATTTTCAAGAGAAGGCAGCATTGGTAACTCTATGCCTTCTTTGCTTCTCTTTACATTAAGAGATACTGGAGGTGGATGTATGATTTGGTAAACCAGAGTAAATGTTTACTAAAATATAAAGTTGCAAATCATACAGCCATGTTTTCCAGCCCCCCCCCCCCGGATTTTAAAAACTGGACACTGTAAAAGCAGTGGAACTATTAGTTCTGTACTTGTACTATTATCTCTTATCAATGCAGATTTTAATCTTCAATCCTTTTTCAAGATGTTCAGAAAACAGTATGCCCCACAGCTGAGAGTCTAAATACCAAACTAAAAACACACATATAGTTTCTATTGTGTAAAACATATTCTCCTTGTTAATTATTTCCAATAAAAACCTTTGGAATTCTTTGTTTGCAGTTCTTATAAGCATCTCTTCTTCCACAGCAAAGACATACAGCTATTTGAAACAAGTCCATTGAATTAGTAAATTTAGATAATATTTCTCTAGGATACAAATGTTTCCAGAGTATAGGACATTTACATTACCAAAGAGGCTTGGAATTTCTTAAGAACCAAAACTAATATGTAGGCTTTCCCCCCATAAATTTGAGACTTGTAAAATAATAAGCACCTACTTTAGAAACTGAACCATTTTTTAAAACAGTTGTTTTCATTGATTTTCAACAGATGCTCTACAAGTCACTTAGTTAAAATACATAAACATGCACAAAACTCATTATTTCTAAGACAAAAGAAAAGAATAAGAACATTCACAAAATCAATGCATCTGTACTGTCAGGCAGGGCAGCGTATGGTGCAGTCAGCTGATATGTACAGTTCTGACTGAAAACACTGCCCATTTGTTCAAGATGTAGATAACAGGAGTCCTGCAATGAGCTTCACTGTTGCCTATCTGCAAGCTAGTGGTGTGTGAAGGATAGAAATGGAAGGAAGTCACAACAGCATAATTGACTTCAGCTGGAGAGATGTGCATTTTGCACTGGCAAAGCTGCATTATTGTCATGTAATCCTCAAAACCTCAAATCCTCAAAACCTCCCAGAGGCTCACAGAGAGCCTATGCTCTCAAGTTTTTGTTACATAATCTAATCGAATCACACTAAATTCAGCTCCATATTACCTAATGCAGCAAAATAACACACTGCTAGCATAACCTTAGTTTCAGTTCTCTAGCAATACTGCAGTAAACTTTAAGGCTGTCAATTCTTTTATCAAATATAACACAAACACCACACAGATAAGTGAATACGAATGCCATGTATTATTGTCCTCATACAGCCCTCCATTCATAGACAGGCCTCAGTTTGTAGTAATGGAACAGCAGAGCACTAAATACAATGCAAATTTACTGCCAAATGTGCATTTAGAGTCCAATAAAATGGGCAGCATCTAAAAAGCTATTCAGTTAAATCTTCCTGGATCTCTGGAGATCTTTTAATAGTATTGATCCTCGTCTCTTATTGGACCAGTTTTGGGAATGGGAATAGGAGGGACAAGGGTATTGTGGCTCCATGATTACCCAGAAGGCTGATTACAGAGAGTGGGGCTGTGGAGTTTTTGGTGAGCCCCGTGGCTGCAAAATTCTGGGCTACCATAAGACTCTACTCTAATTTTCCTCTACAGGAAGCTATTGGGTGAGATCATGGAATTTTGGTATTTGACACCATCACCTTGCTGGTCATATTCAGCTCTATTTCTTTTTGTCTCCAGAGTAATCCCACTCATCACAGAGACCAGCACCTAGAGGCTGTCACGGGATGCATAAGCATGTATAAGCTGACTGACAGACTGCTGCATTATGCTGTACAGGGCTCCACTGAAGACAACATGTGGACTACTGCATTTTTAAAATGATGCCACCATTTAAAAAAATAACTTTGCTGGTTATCAATATGCTTCTGACCCATGCTCCAGGTGCTGGTGATAAGATTAAAGCCCTAAACCAGTGGAGGCAAACCTTTTTCGGCTCGAGTGCCCAAAATGAGGGGGTGGGGAAGAAACCAGTGGCTGCCATGCCGCCCGGAAGACCAGAACTGGAACAGGAAGTGGCAGTTTCAGGGGGAATCATGCGGACGGACAGGAAGTTAAAGGGGGAATCATGGGGACAGACAGGAAGTTAACGGGGGAAGCATGGAGACGAAGAGGAAGTTAAAGGACCCAAAACAAGAAGAGAAAGGGGGAATCCCAGCTGCAGCAATTTCAAAAGGTTTGCTGCGTGCCAGAAGAAAGGGCTTTGTGTGCCAGCTGTGACACTTGTGCCATAGGTTCGCCATCACTGCTTGGGATCTCTGTATAGCAGCCAAAGCACCATGAGCTGCCAAGAAGGCCCTCCTCTGTGTCCTAGCAGAAGCAACACATTAAGCAGAGAGACAGAAAGGGGGATTCTTCACTGGATACGGAATGCCTTCTCATTGAAGGCTCAACTGGTGCCCAGGGTGACCTCAATTCATAATCAACTTAAAATGTTTGGGTCCAGGGAGCATGGATTGACTCTCTGACCTACTGGTTTGTTTATTCCTATACAATCATTTTAGCTTCTTGGATTCTTCAAAACTGTTTTATATTATTTAATGTTGTTTTATTAGCTATGCTGTGCTCTGTGATTTTCAGCTACAAGGATGAGATATAAGTATCTCATTATAAAGAAACAAGCAAACAAACAAATGATACTTCTAAACATGCAAGGGTCCTTTGAATCTTTTTTCCATGTACTTCAGCTTTCCATACTGTATGGCAGGCCATTTGTTTGTTTGTTTGTTTTTGTTTGTTTGTTTGTTTGTTTGTTTTTGTTTGTTTGTGTTTGTTTGTTTGTTTGTTTGTTTGTTTGTTTGTTTGGTTTGTTTGTTTTTGTTTGTTGGTGTTTGTTTGTTTGTTTGTTTGTTTGTTTGTTTGTTTGTCGCCAGGTCAAAGCCTTCCTGTTCCAGAAGGCTTGTTTTTTAAATACTATCAACTGTGGGTCCTGATGGCAATTTTTAGAGTATATATCTTAATTGTTTTTTTTAATATAAACTGTATTTTAATTGTTGTAAGCTGCCCAGAAACCTTTGGGTAGTGTGGGCGACATACAAGTTAAAATGAACGAACGAACGAACGAACGAACGAACGAACAAACAAACAAACAAACAAACAAACCAGTGCGTGTGCAAATGTCATGAGACTCTGCTTGTCCAGGTAGGACGTAGGTGGTATAATTTCTGCAGCTGAAGGAAGGCACCCCTGGCCACCGAGTCCACCTGGGCTTCCAGAGTTAGACTGGGGTCCAGGAGCACCCCCAGGCTGCGGACCCTGTCCCTGTCTGGCAAAGCACCCACTAATAGCACTTCTGTCCACATCCTCAGGTATCAACAATTGAAATTCATCCATTAATACAGTGGTGCCTCGCTTAACGATTACCTCGTTAAATGACAAATCCGCTTGACAATGAGGTTTTTCCGATCGCTTGTGCGATCGCAAAACAATGTTTTAATGGGCAAAATTCGCTTCCTGACGATCGGTTCCCTGCTTCGGGAACCGATTCTTCGCATTATGACGATCAAAGCAGCTGATCATCAGGTTTAAAATGACCACCCACTGTGTAAAATGGCTCCCCGCTGTGCTTTAGGATGGATTTTTCACTGCACAGGCATCGGAAAATGGCCGCCCTATGGAGGATCTTCACTGGACGCTGAGGTATTTAGCCGATTAGAACGCATTGAGCGGTTTCAATGCATTTCAATGGGCTTTTTTATTTCACTTGATGAGGATTT